TTGAAACTGACCTTGGAAAATAAATTTCTTTTAGAACAATTTAAATCAATCCAGATAAAATGCCAAATGTCCTCTTAAAAAAATAAAGTTAAATATAGAGAAAAAGAAGATTTATTTTTAACATATAAAAATTTACACCAAAACTAAAATAAAAATCGCGCTAAAGAGATGAAAAATTGAAACAAACACTAAAAATACAATATTTAGGAGATTTTTTAAAAATAAATCCATATCAATACCAAATGAACTCTAAAAACCATAAAATGAAATACGGATGAAAAGAAGATAGATTTTGAATATATAAAAATTTAAATAAAAAATAAAATAAAAATATGTGCTAAACCGATGAAAAATTGAGTACAACTAAAGGATTAAGATAAGCCTCGCTAAGTATTATTTCGCTTATGAGAAAAAAAATTAAGATAAGGTATTAAACTAAGTATACGAAACTTTAAGTTGATGCGTAAATTTTACCCTCAAGATTTTATCGATTATGAAATGCTACAATTAAGGATGCAATTTGAGCATTTTGATTATGTACGAAATCTTTCGATTTCGAAACATTGTCAACTATAACCGATTTGATTCATTAGTCGATGAAGATAATAAAATTTAAAAGTTATCTACTTATGTATAAAGTGGTAACACTTGTTCTTACTCTTTCAGCTTCTACGACTATCACAGAGTGGTCATTTTCACCTAAGAGTATAATCAAGACCAAGTTTCGTAACAAGATAAAAGATGAATTTCTTTTCGATTATTTATTAGTGTATATTAAAAAAAAATTATTAAAAATTTTAATATGGATTCGTTTATAGATGATTTTGAAAAAACGAAGATATTTATTTTGAGTGATTATATTTTGAGATTATTTTAAAATATATATTGATAAGTTATTTATAATATAAATAAATTTATAAATTATGATAAATTTATAAATATTTATTTTGATACGTAGACATTTGGTCCTACCGCCACTGCTTCTTATATTTCATAATTGGACTCCCCTATTACCAAACAAAAACTGACCCGGTAACCCTAGTGCTTTTACCGGGTCATGTCTCGAACCAATCTGGCAACTATGCTCCGTTGTTCCAGAAAAGGCAAAAAAGCCAAAAACGACTTATTACTTGTCAAAAACACTGAAGAAAGAATCCATGACACACGCGTAGCCCTATCGAGAATCGTGAACCTGCCAATTAGGCCCCAAATTCTGAACAGTGACGATGACTCTCCCTCCATAATCCCCAAAACAAATAATTTCCACCAATAAGCTGTTCTTGCACTTTCTTCATATTTTTGACTTTCAGACAATTAATTCACTGAGCCAGCAAGGACTCAACATATCCACCTTGTAAGGTTAACCAGTTTAATCAGTACAGTTATTTTTTAAACCATTTCTTATGGCACGTGTAGTGTATCTTTTACAATAAATTATTACGCAGATCTCTGTCTAAAATCATGTACCAAACTGATAAAAATCATTATAACTAATTAAATTTATTTAAATCACCTATTTAGTAAATCATATTTAAAATGTAAATCTTTTTATATTTAATAACACATTTTTAATTATGGAATGAAATGATTAATGATGCATCTATCATAAAATAATATGGACAGATTATTACAAATTTAATAATGTGTAAAAGTTTTATTGGTTTGGTCCACAATTCTAGAAAGTAGATCAGATTTTTGTAATAATTTATCCACTTTTACGGGTGGATTTAAATTGGTTTTTAACTTTTTGATTTCAAAAACATTATAAGTATACGGTTAAAAATAATTTTTGACTTTAGTCAAAGGTTTGTTACAAAATGAGTCAAAATTGCACTTTAAAAGTTGAATTTTTTAACGTTTAACTTATGATTCTAAACCAATCACTACATTTCTTATTGAAAAATAGTGTCTTGAATATTTTTTACTAAACATACTTCTAACTTAAAAATTATTTTTTTGTCATAAATTATTTATGAAAAAAGTCCATAAAAAATATCATTGAAAAATTGCGATTGAGAGTCAAAAGTCATCATTCAGACGAAATCTAGTTTATTTATGGAGACAAATTTATTTTTAGTTTTTTTGGGTATACAGTGGAATTGAATTTATAGACCGTACATTTGTATTAAATAAACTAACTTAACCAACAATAAAGTATTGATCTATGCAATATGTGAATTTATTTGTCGGATAATAATTTTAAATTAATTTTATAAAAATCTTTTAAAAAAATTTTTTCGTGAACTTATTGATAAAACGTGAATGATCTATCTAAAACTCAATTGCAAAGAAATTTAATATTGACATGTAAAAACCGATTCGAACTAGTGCAACAATTCTTAATAGTCAAGGAAAAACTCTAATAATGATTTGATTAAATTAAAATATCAATACGAAACTTAATCTCTTATGAAAAATTGACATGATAATTAATCCAATATGAATTTTCTCCTTGGAATTTCTATATTTGTATAATGTATTTTTTTTAATCAAAAAACAAAAACATACTGAAACCAACTTGGATATGAATTCAGACAATTTTCTCTAAAGTGTCAGAGTCGTAATTAAAACAAAAAGCAAGCCCTTTAACTGAACGATAAAAAAACACTTCAACACAGGACCTCGGTCTGCTCCCATAAGAAAAAAACCTTGAACTCGGAGCCGTGTCGTTTGGTGAATCGGCGGCGTTAAGCACCTCCATTCTCTGCCTCACTTACCCTCACCCTCTCACTCACTATATTCATCACTCACCCACTCTGCTGCTCCTTTCTATATTCGTTAGCTACCATTAGACACATCCTTCGGTTTCTCTCCTACTTTCCTCTGTTTCACTCGAAAAGCAGAGAATCCCCTGTATCAAGAACCAAAGAAATCAAAGTACATTCTCTTTAGATAAACAAAAGTTAGTATCTTCTCATGTTTTTTAGCTTTTGAGGTCTTGTTTTATTGTATATATTATTATTCCGCATGCTTGTTTGCTAGGTTGTTTGATCAGTGATCATGATCATATGATCAGGTCCTGTTTTTTGGATTTTCTTGAATGTAGGTTTTGTTTGGGGTTTCAGTGTGTTTGCATGCGAGTTTTGATTCTGGGCATTTATTGGAATTCAAGGGGTTTCGTGAACGTGCTTGTGTTTCTTGTTTGAATGGTTAAAGAGGGAAACTTTATACAATGTGGCTAGTGAATTGTTGTTATTTTGATGGTTTTTGATTGTTTAATGCAAGATTTTGCTGGTTATGAGTTTGGTTTAATACAAATACCATGGTCTTTTTGTTTTAAACTTGAAATCTTGAGCTAACAACAGTAGGGTGGGATTTTGTGTGTTTGTTGTGCATCCATTGGATCAATGGGTTCGGTGATATGGTGGTTCATTGCTGTCAAACTCATTTTTTTCTCTCTTAAGAAAGTGTAAGTTTAGGGTTTAATTATTATGGTTTTGGAGGGAATATGTTTTCTTTTGGTGGATAATTAATTAGTTGGTGTGCCCTGTAATTTTTAAACTACAGAGAGCAGGGGATTATCCTATCTTGTTAGAGTTGATCAATGGTTGACCTTGCCAGTTATATTTTTTTTTCTTATCATTTCTTTAATGATGATGGAAAGTGTTTTGTGGTCGAACATAACATTTATGTCAAAATGTTAATGATTGAGTATGTGATTCTGATTCGTTGGCTTGTGCAATGTTTGAGGCCAATGATGTATGTTTTTTATCGGCTAAAGTTTGGTTATGATTAAATTGCTGTTATCATTGAACAGTAGGAGAAAATATACATAGAGCTGTGGTCCTTTTGGATAACGGATTAAACTGCAGAATATATTGGCGTGATGCACGTGTGACACGTATGTTTCATTTAATAGGATGCGCCTTGCAATGGAAATTCTATGGTGTTTAAGTGTGACTAGTGACAACATACTAGTTTCAACATGCGTCCATACGATCGACACGTCTCTTAGCAAGAGTGATGTCATCTCTTAGCAGCAAGAGCGACGTTAACTCTTAGCAGCAAGAGTAGCAAGAGTATGAGGCTCCTGTCTGAAATAGTTTCATTCAGAAGTGGTTGCTGTTTGTCATGTGTTTTGATTGTTGTTTTTGGCCTATACTGTAACTGCTGTGCTGCCAATGGTTGCATGTTGAGCGCCGAGTAATTTTTCATAGTGCCTGTTTCTTGCTATGATTTGCATTTTAATGTCGTGTTATTCCAGGCATGTGTGCCAGCTTTGATGATGGAAAATCCGGTGAATTCTGTTCTTATGATCATTGAATGCGGTCATAATATAACTCGGAGGCACAATAGCTAAATTCATGGAATAACACAAAGCCAGAAGCTTTTTTGTCTGCTATATGTTGCCTCTAGAGGCCATTTCACTGTTTAGTTTGGCTGAAGAGGAAAATGAATAAAGTAGATATAATTACTCTGTTTGCATGCTTGGCAATAACTGCCAACATTTGGAGTTAATGCATTAATACAATCGAATGTATACTTTTTTAAGACATTATAGTAGACAATTTAATATCTTCCAAGCAAAATGAGTGAACTTAACAATCTTAACTGAGTGTTGTTTGAACGACGTGGTTTCATTGAATATTTCATATTTTTAAAATCTGCCTCAGATAGTGTATTAACTCTCAGTCTCTTCTTTCCTTTTTTCTCTTCTTGCTCCTTTCTTCGACAGTAATAAGGTGGATAAGCTACAAGGGCTTTCAATAAGGCCTCAGATATGCCGATTGTACAATTTCCTTGGCTTTCCTAATACCTAACCGCCGTTCCTTTTTAGGTTTACCTACTCTCTTGCAAGGATTCCTTGCTACACAACTAACAGGTTTGTAGAATCCAACTTTTTTGTTTAGGGAAGATTCCTTCCCTCTATAAAAGTTGTTGAATTATTACCTTATCCTAATCTTGTCTGGTTTTTGTCCTCACCCCCACCCCCTCCTAACGATTTCATGTTGCCTGCAGGTTTCTTGATTTGTAGTGATAAGCGCAAATTGTCAGGTGTAATGGAGATTGATTTCTCTGAAGAGCAGCAAGTGCCATCTGCTCTGATAACTGGGATAGCTTTTGGCGTTTCAACTGAGGCAGAAAAGGTATGCATATTTTTGTTGGTCCTTTTTTTTTTTTTTTTTTTTTAAAAAAGAAATGAGAGAAGGTCATCACAGTAATATTCTTTCTGGTGGTGTATTATGATCACCATAACAGCATCCACACCATCCAGTGAGGTTCTATAATTCATGTCTCACTATAAACCCAGTGATTCTCCAGAGCCCCTAAGGCTTGTCATTTCTTTCAGTTTGGTAAATTTACTTCCATCAAGCTTCTTTATGTTTCTGAAACTCTTCTGGCATCCAATGCTACTTCTGAGTTCTTTTTTTGGCTTACTTATTGATACTGATAGCTCCAAAATTTAGATAAGCTACCTTTTAAGGATATGATCAATAAAATGGTCATCTAATATCTACTTAAGTTTTGCTGGTGATTGATATTTCTAGTTTTATGAGGTAGTGTGTTTTTCTTATCAAATAATTGATTCATCTTGTCATATTGTGGCAGGAAAAGCTTTCAGCTCTAACGATTGATGCTGTAAGTCAGGTCACTGATCCTAAGCTGGGACTTCCAAATCCATCTTTGCAGTGCTCCACATGTGGCTCTAGAGATTTAAAATCGTGTGAAGGTATTTTGGAAATGTACTTAAATTATGTTCAGATGAGCTTCTGTAGCTACCAGAGATTGTGCTAATATATTATCACTTTCAGGTCATTTTGGTGTTATAAATTTTCCGTACACAATAGTGCATCCATACTTCTTGTCTGAAGTTGTACAGATTTTGAATAAAATTTGCCCAGGATGTAAATCTATTCGATTGGCCAAGGTCAGGTACCTCATTCCCTGTGCTGTAGATCTTTTCCTTTTTGCTATGTCCCTTGTGATAAACTCAAGTTTTTTGTATAAAGTTATAAATTTGCTTATCAACATGTATTTGGGATCATTGCCAGATTTATCTCCATTTTCATGTTTTTTCTAATTAGTAATCAAAATTAACCACATGAGAATGAATGTTAACACAAACGCACATTTCATGTAGATATGTTAAATCTAGATTTGAACACCTGAATAAGCTTCATGTTAAGCTAGTAGATCAGTAGAGAACCTTAATTGTGTCAGCAAAACTTTAGCCGTTAAGCACAACAAATATTAAGGTGTTATTCAGGTTAAATGTATCTTTTTTTTTGTGTGTGTTGGGGGGGGGGGGGGGGGTGTTAATCATCCGCAATATGAATTTGCTTTTCATCATGTCATGGGTTGATCTAAAAAGTATATCGTTCTTTACAATTTATTTGTGATTGGACATCTAATCACTTGGCATTTTGCAATTAGCACAAACCTTTCTGTTTTACCATGTTCATTGAATGAATCACCAGGTTTGGTTTGGCTTACTTAAAGAAAACATTAATTTTGCTAATTGGGATAGTTTTTTCCCCTTGCTCTTCTAGATTTATTTCCTTGAAATTTGTTTTTTTTTGTGTTTGAAGATTGATTATAGATCATCTTTTCCTTCTCTATAATAACATCAGTGTTTGATACTTTCCATGTGAGCACTGCATGTCTCCTAGTCGACCTTTTATTGATGTTTTTCCTTTTCTATCATGTGCTTGTATTCAGGTGACTGAGTTGATAGCTAAAGAAAATCCACAGAGAAAGGGCTGCAAATATTGCATTGTAAGTCTTTCTGGCACACAATGCAATCTTTTTCCTCGTGCCCATATGTGGTTTTGAATTAATCACTGTATTACAAACAGGGAAATTCACTAGGTTGGTATCCACCAATGAAATTCAAAGTTTCCTCCAAAGAAATTTTCAGGAAAACGGCAATTATAGCAGAGATCAGGGAAACATTGTCAAAAAGGCCCCAAAAAGGATTCAAGAAAATTTTGGCTGCTGACTATTGGGATATTTTTCCAAAAGATGAACAAGAAGAGGAAGAAACCGATGTAAAACCAAACAGAAGAGTTCTATCACATGCACAGGTACCACAGCATGGCCTTATTGAATCAACATGTCTCAAGTCACCTAATGTTTCTAATTGATTGTTATGCATGTACTTTTTTCTGTTTTTATACCGTCTACTTCAAATTAATGTCATCAATCTATTTAGGAACTGTTTCTTTTACTGTGTTGTATTTCACCATATGCGAATATCTAAACAAGGACAGAGAGATGGATTTAATATCTTGACTTAATGTGACAAAAATTAGGAACTGTTTCCTGCCTGATCCATTTGATGTGCCGAACATCTACAAATGTGACAATTCTGTCATCTCATTGTAATCAGTTATGTTGCTTTAACACTTGTTCCTGGATTTGTTGAATAGTTTTCATTAATCGTTTTGCCATTCGGATCCATCTCTTTAAAATGATATAACTTGACTTATCCTGACTCTCAATTTATCACAACCTTCTACATCTTGGATCCCGACACGCCATGCCAGATCCAGCTTAATGTGATGTCTAGCATTGCCGAGTCACATTGCTATTTTAAGTAGAACAAAAAAAGGGACAGAAATTATCTCATATTTTAAGAAATGAAGTTTTATCGAGAAAGAAGACCATTTCATTTGTGTTTGATGGCCCTCTTGTCATGATTTATATGCTGGTACCAAAATTCTAAAGGGCTTTGTCGCCAGTAAAAACTGTTGGCATCATGAAGATTTTCCTCATAAATCCACCGTTGCAGAATTGAATGGGGAGGAGAAATGTTGGGGGAGGGGTGTTTGATGGTTTCCTTTAGTCTCTTTTGTATCTTTTAAGGAAGAGCTGGGTGTTCAGGTTTAAGGAGAGAAGGACCTAACATGGGTTGAGAATTATAGGTGATTATGATTCCACTGCCCATAAAAGTATGTGAATCTTTTGGAGCTGGTATCTACGTATTAATGCCCTTGTATGCTTCTATACCTGTAGAAACCTTTCCTAAATAATGATCAATGTTCCTGCTTATTCAATTTTGTGTATATGCATTGTAGTTTTAAGTTTTATTTGTAGCTTAGTATGGCTTCCGGATTCAGCATTCCTGTTTAATGCTTTTTCATCGATTCACAAATATAGCTCGCTGTCTGAGTCATTTTGTATTTTACTTTTATGGATTTTTTTAACCGATTGCTGCTATCTTGTTTATGCTATCTCTTTGTTACACTAATGTGTACATGGGGACTACCTTCCTGGTTTCAGGTTCGGCATTTGTTGAAAGATGTTGATCCAAATTTCATAAAACGGTCTATTTTGAAGACAGATACAATTTTCCTCAATTGTTTCCCAGTGACACCAAATTGTCATCGTGTGACAGAAGTTACACATGCATTTTCTAATGGGCAGCGATTGATCTTTGTAAGAACTGATTCTTTCTGCACTTCATTTGTATTGGTTGGCTTGGACTACATGTCACAGTAGCTTGGATGACTTCCAATGTTGTTTCCTCATGCGCCCTTTGTGCTTGATTAATGGTTGTAGGATGAACGGACTAGGGCTTACAAAAAAATGGTTGATTTCAGAGGGGTAGCAAACAAGTTGAGTTTTCACGTTGTGGACTGTCTGAAAACTTCTAAGGTAAGACATGATTTCTTTTATTTATTTATTTTTGTTTAAAATCTGTTGGACTTGATATTTGCAAAAACCTTATGCTTTTATTCTTAAAATTTATTCTTCTAATTCGCAGCTAAACCCAGACAAGTCAGGAAATATTGATCCTTTGACTGCTTTACCTAAAAAAAGTAACGATTATGTTAACAACGCATCTGGTTTGAGATGGGTCAAGGATGTCGTTCTAGGTAAACGGAATGATCATTCATTCCGTATGGTGATTGTAGGGGATCCTAATCTCCAGCTGCACGAAATTGGCATACCTTGTCATATTGCTGAGAGGTTGCAAGTTTCAGAATCTCTCACTGCTTGGAATTGGGAGAAGTTGAGTGCTTGTTTTGAGAAAAGCCGTTTTGAGAAGGGTGACATGCATGTTCGCAGAGAAGGGAAGCTGGTTCGTATTCGGCACATGAAGGAACTTCATCTTGGCGACATCATTTACAGACCTCTTAATGATGGAGACACGGTCTTGATCAATAGGCCCCCATCCATACATCAACACTCCCTCATTGCTCTCTCTGTTAAAGTCCTTCCAGTGCCTTCGGCTCTTGCAATTAATCCTCTCTGTTGTCCCCCATTCCGTGCTGATTTTGATGGTGATTGTCTGCATGGCTATGTTCCTCAATCAGTTGACACCAGAGTTGAGCTAACTGAGCTTGTTTCATTGGATAAGCAGTTAACTAATTGGCAGAGTGGCAGGAATCTTCTTTCTCTCAGTCAAGATAGTTTAACTGCTGCTCACTTGGTCTTGGAGGCTGATGTTTTCTTAAACTCATTCGAGTTGCAGCAACTGCAAATGTTTCGCCCTGAGCGATTCCTGTTGCCAGCAGTTAAAGCTCCTTCATCTAATGCTGGTGTTTGGACTGGAAAACAATTGATCAGCATGCTCCTACCTATAGGTTTTGATCATGATTTTCCGTCAAGTGATGTTTGCATTCGGGATGGTGAGCTTGTTTCTTCTGAAGGATCCTTTTGGCTACGGGACACTGATGGTAACCTATTCCAAAGTCTTGTGAAACATTGCCATAGTCAGGTTCTTGATTTCCTGTATGCAGCTCAGAGAGTTCTTTGTGAATGGTTATCAATGAGGGGCTTGAGTGTTTCTCTATCTGATCTGTACCTCTGTCCTGATTCTTACTCACGGGAAAACATGATGGATGAAATTTTCTATGGTTTGCAAGATGCTGACTACACATGCAACTTGAAACATTTGATGGTAGATTCCTGTCGGGATTTCCTCACTGGAAATAATGAAGAAGATCAGTGTGATGTAGAACGACTGCGTTTCCTTGCTGGATGTGGTGAAGAGGATTATTGTGTTATGGCCTTCGATGGAGAGCGTTTGTGTTATGAGAAGCAAAGATCTGCTGCACTCAGTCAATCTTCTGTTGATGCTTTCAAGCTAGCATTTCGGGATATTCAAAGTTTAGTATACAAATATGCTAGTCAGGACAACTCATTGCTGGCTATGTTTAAGGCAGGAAGCAAAGGTAACCTGCTGAAACTAGTGCAGCACAGCATGTGTCTAGGCTTGCAACATGCACTCGCTTCATTGTCCTTCAGAATGCCTTATCAGCTCTCTTGTGCTGGTTGGAATAAGCAAAAGGCTGATGATGCTACTGAATCTGCTAAGCGCTACATCCCACATGCTGTTGTTGAAGGTTCTTTTCTGTCAGGCTTGAATCCCATTGAGTGTTTTGTTCATTCAGTAACAAGTCGAGATAGCTCTTTCAGTGACAATGCTGATCTTCCTGGGACTTTGTTTCGAAGGATGATGTTCTTCATGCGTGATTTGCATGGTGCATATGATGGAACAGTTAGAAATGCATATGGGAATCAGCTTGTTCAATTCTCTTACAATGTTGATGACATGGATCCATCTGGTATAGTTGATGAGATCAATAACGGTGATGGGATAGCTGGCCGGCCTGTGGGTCCATTGGCTGCATGTGCCATCTCTGAATCTGCATACAGTGCCCTGGATCAGCCAATCAGTCTACTTGAAAAATCACCTCTACTGAATCTGAAGGTGCTCTCTCTCTCTTGTTTGTGGAAGCTTCATTATATTATGCTCTGGAAGTTACAAAGGTCACATGCAATTTGCAGATGATATTCATCAGTTACTTTCTGTCCTAAACAATGAAAGGAATATGTAGTCCATTACCCAGTTTTACTCTCACAAAAAATGTGTCATTTTGGGAAGAGGAAGGGGTGGTTTGGAGACAGTTGTACCATTTGGCATTTTAGCTCCTTTTCCTTTTGGCTTGCTCTTGCAGCTGTGACAAAATCTTTTGATGTTGCATCCAGCAGTGGCTTCAACACGATGATGTTTTATAATATGTTCAAAATTTAGTGAATAGATCCTGCCACATACCAAAAGCATAAATAGTTAAAAGATAAAACGAGGTATTGTAAAGAGGCATGCTCATAACTTGTTCTTGTCCTCCCACTCCTGATGAAGCCAAGAATGTGGAGACACTAGATGTGTTTCCATGACTTAGATATGGAATTAGGGCACATTGTCCGCACATACCTGGAGCTCAAAATGGCTAGAAAAGAGGTTCACGAGTCAATGAGGAATGCATCTATAGTTGGAGTGGCAGAAGCATTTTTCTTTTTCTTTCTTTGGAAATGGAGCCTGAATAGTTAGAGAACAGGTTCATTAAATCAATTGAGAAGTACATATACAGTTGTCACAGAAGTATTTTCCTTTTCTTTTATTTGGTGCCTGAACCTTTTCTATTTCCCCCTGAGGCACTGTGGTTCATTTAATGTGTTGATTATACTATTTTTCCTGGATTTCCTGATGTTTTTTAATCATCATCTTGTAAATTGCACAGAATGTACTGGAGTGTGGTCTGAAAAGGAAAAGTGCACACCAAACTATGTCACTATTTTTGTCTGAGAAACTTGGGAGACTGAGGCATGGTTTTGAGTATGCAGCATTAGAAGTCCAGAACCATTTAGAGAGACTACTCTTTTCAGATATTGTTTCTTTTGTCAGGATAATGTCAGTTTCTAGTTTCCTGTTTCTTTCCTTAAAATTTTCATTTGCTTTTTGTTCTTTTTATCGTAGTGCATATTAATTTTTGTTAATTGATGTGTTTTCGGGCATTAGCTTTTCCCCTCAAAGTGATGGCAAGATGCGCTTTAGTCCTTGGGTTTGCCATTTTCATGTATACAAGGTAGTAAATCTGAATATTTCAGCTACGTCTTGGACTTCTGTATAAATGGTATATCTTGTATAAAAAAATTCAGTGTTCTTTCAGGAAATTGTAAAGAAGAGAAGTCTAAAGGTGCGGTGTATAATCGATGCCCTTGAAAAGCAGTGTAAATCGAAAACTTGTTTTCCAAACATGCAAATAACAAGCAGGTATGACCTATGGTTTCTATTAAATAGCCATCAAATTAGAGATTGGAGAATAATTTATGGTCTCTGCATTATGTTGTTCAAATTTTTCTTGTGATTTCACTAAGACTGAAGTAAAATTGTAGAAATGACCAAGCAGCTGTAAAACTGCTAAACATTCCAAAATATAACCAACTAAGTGTTGAACTTTTGTTTTTAATTAAAACTTTATATGTGCACTGTTTCAATGTCCACGAACCTTTTTTTTTTCTTCCAGAAATTGAGTTTCTTCCTCTTGTTCATATGTCTGATTGGAACCCTTTTTTTTTTTTTAATTAAAACTTTATGTGGGCACTATTTCAATGTCCAGGAACCTTTTTTTTTGTCCAGAAATTGAGTTTCTTCCTATTGTTCATATGTCTGATTGGGGTTTTCTTCTTATTTGTTTGCTCTAACCCAGTTGAATTGCTAAGAATAATAATGCATATCAATATGCGAGGTTTATTTGTGAAATCCTCACTGATTCCAACTGCTGACGAACTGGGAATCACATTTTCTGGTTTCCTGGTCACTTTTGAATTTGCTTTATAAATGTGCCGGTAGCCTGAATCTATATAAGCTTTGTAATTGAATATGCTGCCTTGTATTCCCTTCATGTTTTCCCTCACTTTATAAATCTGCCTGTAACCTGAACCTATTTCCTCTATATGTGCTATCAACAATTCATTTTGCTGGTCATTTCCTATTTCTTTCACTTCTTGATCCTTTCTTTTCATAATTTCTTTGTTCTCTGGTTCAAAGTTTTGCATATTTTTCCACACTTTATCAGTCATTATTACAGCGTTTCCCATTTGGATGAGATAATGACTCCAATCACTACCACTTGTGCCCTATTTGGTGCTAGACTCTATAGACTTTTCCAAAATCTGCATAGAGCTCTGTTGTTCTTTCTGACTTGGTTGATTAATGCCAGGGACTGCCCTGTAGCTGACACTTGGAAGGAAAAAAGGAAACATTTTGCATAACTGTCACCATAGTTGAAACTTCCAAGAAGGAATTCATAGAATTGGAGACAATTCAAGACCTAATAATTCCATCCCTTCTTGAAACAGTTCTAAAAGGTTGGTCATGAACCTGATATTTTGGTCGGCTTAATTTTCTCTGTATGTTTAGTTAGCTGATGTCAATCATTTCTTCTTCTTCAGACTTGTTAATTTTATTCAGAAGCTTAGATTAGATGTTAGTGGACACATTCTTGATCTTACTTTTACCATACCAAATTTTGATGTTAGGTTATATGTCTATTAAGAAGGTTGATATTTTGTGGAATGATAAGCCTAAGATACCAAAATCTCATAATCGTCTCCGTGGTGAGCTCTTCTTGAGGGTTCATATGTCAAGAGGATCTGACAAAACAAGACTCTGGAGTCAACTTATGAACGACTGTCTCTCAATAATGGATATTATCGACTGGACTCGCAGTCATCCAGATAACATACATGAATGCTGTTTGGCTTATGGTATAGATGCAGGATGGAAATTTTTTCTCAATGTACGTAGAATTCCTTGTCACTTCATCATATTTTTTTCTAATAGGACCAATCGTGGAAATTGTCATATAGACTAATTATTAAAACAATTTTGAAAACAGAATTTGGAGTCTGCAATATCTGATGTTGGCAAGACAGTACTTCCCGAACATTTGCTTCTTGTTGCAAATTGTCTATCAGTTACTGGGGAGTTTGTTGGTCTAAATGCAAAAGGCTTGAAACGACAAAGAGAACATGCTTCTGTCTCAACACCTTTTGTGCAAGCATGCTTTTCTGTTAGTTCTCGTTACTTTTTGCTTCCCACTTTAATATTTTCTTGATATTTTCGATTAAATATAATTCATGGTTTGTTTCTGAAATTTGTTCTAGAATCCTGGCGATTGCTTTATAAGGGCTGCTAAGGCTGGAGTTGTAGATAATCTCCAGGGAAGTGTAGATGCTTTGGCATGGGGAAAGATTCCTGCCATTGGGACGGGACAATTTGATATTATATACTCTGGAAAGGTAGATTTTACGTTGTTCCTCTTGATAGCTAACAAGAATTTGGATGTCAAATATATCTTTTCCCAGTTCTTGGGAAGCTAAAATTTAAGAAGTCACAGAGCGAACATAAGATTTTTGCTGGAAGGATTTTATTGTCAAAGGGATTCCAGGCGTTTGGGGAAGCGAATACTATTTGAATGGTTTTTATTCATAAAACATGTATCCTGGAACTTTAAGTAGGAGTTGTAGTCCTTGTCATTAAAGATGTCCTTAAGTTTCTTTCTCTAACATTTACAATGTTTCTTTGAATTGACTAATCCTTTTTGTTTGTATGTTTCATCTTCACTCATCAGGGTTTAGAGCTTTCAAAGGCCGTTGATGTGTATAACCTTCTGGGAAGCCAAATGAGATCTACTCAGCAGAATACTGAGTTTGAAGTATCTGATTCTCAAATCTATAGATCTGATAAATGTGGAGCTCAGTTTCTGCGCAAGATTGGTGGTTGTGGCGCTAAAGATTTAAAAGTAAAGGATGGTATACCAAGATCATTCTTACGACGTCTTCTTACGTATGATGACATTCAACGGATGTCCTATACAGTGAGAAAAATCTTGAATAGGTAAGTTGAATCTCCAACGAGTTTTTTCTAATTTTGTCCTTAGTGTGATGCCAATTTTTTTTTTTTTTTTTGACACAATTTTAATTAGTCCATCATTTTCCATGGCATTTTCCAAAATTGGAAGAATTTTTCTTCTCCTAGTTCAAGAGCGTTGCTGACTTTTGTGGATTAGCTTGCCAAGTTTCTGGGCTTCGTGTGTGCTACTAGTTCAACATTGTTGATTACTGTGGAAAGGTTCCTTACCCTTGCAGAAAATAATTTGCATCTTTATTGGCTTTTTCCTGAGGGCATTCTTTTGCTTTTTATCTATCTGCCTTGTGCATTTAGTGTACAACCATTCCATCCCTTTTCTGCAGTAAAATGCATATGTTAAGGGGGAGGAGAAACATAATAAAAGAAGTGATTGTTGCATATTCTTGAAAGGAATTGTCATCGAGTGTGAAAGCTGGTTTGGCTGATGAATGTATAGTGTTGCAGCAACCGTCAACCATTGATAAATTGCTTATTTGATCTTCCACTCATACATGTTTTTCTATGTCTATGCTGGTGCTTAACATCAACATATATGATCTTTTCACTGTACCAAAGCCACAGTATTGTTAACGATCTAAACTATATTCTGTTCTATTGGTGGGTTCCTATAAAGATAATTTGTTTACTCATTTTCGCCACGCTTAAAATCATGTCAATTAAACTATTTCTGTTTCTTTCTGAAACAATGAAAGAGATAAAAGTAATTCACCATTTCAGAGAGATTGCCGAAGCGGAATGTCCTAATGAATCTTTAAATGGGCGTGGATGCAGGTACTCTGTAGACCAACAATTAAATGAGAGTGACAAGTCTGTCTTGATGATGACTTTATATTTCCATCCTCGAAGAGATGAGAAGATTGGAATCGGAGCCAAAGACATCAAGGTATGTAAACATCTATGAGACTTGTGTAAAGATAGTCATGATCTCATATTTCAAATACGCAAAAGCTCGGGGGGGGGGGGGGGGGGGGGGTTTGGAATCAAAACAGTTCTCATTGCCTAATTTTATGGTGTTGCTGTTTTGGATAAACTAAACTGTTGTCTTACATGTTGACCATCTGTTTACAGTATTAAGCATGATTAATGTGTAAAGACAGATTCTGTTATCTTAAAAACAAGATAAAAGAAATAGAAAAAGAAAAAGAAATTGAGGCACATTGGAACAAACACAACACAACACTGGCTTTTACTGTTTCCTTTTTTGGTTTAATTGAGCAAAAATTAGTGTTGATGTTACAGAATGTAGGAACCAGATGAGAATATGTAACTATTTGGATAAAGCTTTCGAATCCATGTACCTCACATAGCAATTTCCAGAGTTGCTAGGCTTCCACCGTGTTGAGATTGTTGAAAATCATCACAAACTGAAGGTTAAAAAATCTTACCCTACTGAACACCTAACCAATCATAGCAGTTAACCATGAGATCGTATCATGGCTTAGAAAACCCTCCCAGTGTAGGCCTATATCATGGAAGCAATGACCTGGAGATTTAAAATCTTGTAGGCATGAAAGTAGTAAACTAACAGTGGAGTAGTTGTTGTAAATTGTAACATCAAGAAACCATGTTTGGCACTTCTTTGGCTTGTGAATTATACAACTATCTGAGTGAAATTAGTTCTAGAAGTCTTACGTATCCTGCCCTTTTTTAAGTCGTCTTTTCTATATTAAAAATCATGAGATCTCTCCCGACAAATTTTTTTCGGAAAGTATCTTGTTCCTTGATTCTGTTGCATGAATATAGTTTCTGTAACTGTATTTATCTGCTTTTTTTTTGGAAAAAAAAAAGGGAAAAAAAGTACGTGCGTGCACCCACAAATAATCTTCCTTCCTTTGAAAGTGTTTGAAATGTTGTCTTCCATATTCTTTGATAAAATCTTGGTCAATGTTAAAATTAGTTTGTTGTGATTGACTAATACATATACCATCGGCTGCCTGCCGGGTTGACAAATATGTATAGGCTACAGAGAAATGAGTTAGTTTGTTGGAAGCGTTTGTTTGTCCCAATCTTTTGGTCGATATAATACAAGTAATCTTCAATAGTGCATAACTTGCCCTATGGTTTAATGGTGCTTCCTTTCCCATCCTTTATTGCAGGTTATAAATCACCCAGAATATCGAGATACACGCTGCTTTTCATTGGTTAGAACAGATGGGACGATTGAGGACTTCTCCTATCGCAAATGTCTCCATGGTGCTCTTGAGATCATTGCTCCTCAAAGAGCCAAAAAGTATCGTGAAAAATTTTTAACACCTAAGGATTCTGCAAAGGACAGTGGTTGTCTTGACTTGCCATTGGACAACTAAAGTAGATCAGCTACTGACATAGGCAGCAGTGCATTAACTGGTTGTAGTATTTGTATCTGTTGAAAGGTGTACATTTTCTATAGAAGTAGAATTTTCTGCAGGATAAGGTAGCTAGATGAAGAAAGAGGAGTCTTCTTCTTGACCCAACAAGTTCCTTTTTTTTTTTTTTGTTAGTAGCAGTATTGTCCTTAAATGGAGGGCAGTCCATTTCCCGAGTTTCTCTTTGCTCCTTCTACTCTAACTTTTTTGCCCTACATTTTATTACGGCAATAGAGATTTAGTGGAAGCAGCAACGAAAAGCTTGCGTGGAGCATTCATTTATGTGATGTATTCATAAATTCATGTGGCAATGAAGGGGCAAAAAAAAAAAAAGGAAAAAACCAACTTTTCTTGCTATTTGTTCTTTGTTAGGGTTTTACTTATGGGGATTTAAATCTGCCTTGATCCGGGAATTATTATAAAAATTCTTATGAAAATAATTTTTTATTCTTTTTTATGTAATTTTATTTGTTAATAAATATAATTTTTTTTTTTATCTATGAATTTTTAAATAAATAATCAATTAAAAAATAAAATTGATGTATCTTATTTGTTTATTCTTTATATTAAAATTTGTTGGAATCAATTTTATAGTTGCTTTTATCGACAATCTGTTAACTTTAATATAAATATTTTTTTTATTTATGTTGAACATTTTGATTCACTTTGTATACTCAAGGAAGCACACATCGTATTTTTTACCTATAAATTTATGAAAAAGATTAAAAAGAATAAATTAAATATAAATTTTGATTAAAATTATGAAATTAATTTTAGAATATTAAAAAAAAAAAGTAAATGGTTTGTGTTATATGTGTATGTGTATAGTTAATTTATTGGGGAAAAAAAGAAAGAAGGAAGGGCAAGCATGAGTGCTTGGTCATTTAAGGAACAAAAATATCTTTTAAAAACATCAAGGATTAAAATAAAAGCTAATGTTAAATTTGCATATACATGTCCAAGAAAAGCTTAAAAATAACAAAAATATCACTACATAGTAAAAATAAATAATAAACATAAATCTGGAATTAGAAATGAGTTATATGTTTGTTAAAAATTTGAAATGAGTTATTATTTCTCTGTTAAAATAAACTTTGATAGTAATTTGAACAAAACAAAAATATCGAAGGAATTAGAAAGAGACACAATAATCTCTTCGAAGAATTACTTCCTTGCTTTCCCTTGAAAGAAACCCAAGATAATAACAGAAAGCGAGAAAGAAAGCGGAAAACACTTGAAAGCGAGAAAGAGAGAATTGATGTTCGCTCTCTCTTTGTTTCTTTCATTATCCGTCGGTAAACTAGCAAGAATTTTCTTCAAATTAAACTCAAGTCAATTCGTTAGTACCATTAATGCGCCGCAGTTCCCTTTGATAATTTGTTTTCCTAAGAAAAGGAAATTGTCTGAAATTCCTACAAACTACACATGTTCTCTGCTTGGGCTCAGAGAACAGGGTAAAACCCAGTTCCAAATAAGAATAAAATAAAAAAGGCAACGTAAAACTTTATTAAAACCCAATTAAATGTGAATCAATGAGCTAGTTTCTTACTATTTACAAAATTGATATATAAACTACAAAAATTAACAAAAAGAAAAAAATCAAATCAAAGTAAAAAATGTAATTGAAGGACTAGGGTTCTGAGCGACGCGCTGATTTCTACAAAATAAGAATCAATAGAGAGAGTTGTAGGTAAAGCAGGTGGCAACAATGGAGACTACGCAAATCACCAGTGAAGGAAGAAGGGTGACATTCAAGAGCTTACTCTCGCCCAAGTACCCAGCCAGTGTAATTGTAGCATCTGCAACCACACGGGCTAATGTCCCAGCTTCCGTTGAGAGTAGTCCGCCATTATAGGTTCCACGGGAAAGCCTGGATGACATGACTCGAGAGAGCAGCGATAAGTTGACGCCTGGATGAAAAACAGAATCCACAACACACAGCTAGTTATTAACCTGCAGATCTTAATTGCTTTGTCTGTAATGAATTAATTCAATCCCAATGCAAATAGGTCTTCCGGTAAAGCCAATCTCATCTCTTTGTGGATGCCATTTGTGCGTTAGCGTGAAGTGCATCTCATCATGTTTTACCATCGTTTACAATGGTTAACGGTAGGACTGTAGTGTCTTCTTGAATAATAGGGGATACCCCAACATGACGCATTAACCAATTCGGTGAGAAGAATAGTTAATGTGACTAACTGTTTGTTTATTGCAATTCCACAGGTTAATTTTTTAGCTTTGTTCTTTTCTTCTGATTTGAGGCCTTAATTATCTGATTGCAGTGATATGCATATAAAACAGCTAAGATTGGAAAAGAATAGCAAGGTAAATCATTTCAAAATGTGTGGAATGTCCAGGATGAGCTGCAACTTGACCCCATTTTTTATGTTTTTCCCTTATTGAGGAGACAACTGCTCCCCTCCAACTCCCTCCTTTCTTTATGTTCATTATCACAACAAAAACATTAGAATTGATTAGTTCCTCACCTTCAAGTACTTCTGCAGAAACAAACATGATGAGTCCAGAGCAGACATACTGTGGCACAGTGTACGGGCTTATTATATGGAAGCTCAGTAGTATTCCCACGCAAACCATAATTTCGGATGCCAACAAAATTTGCCTGCAATGCGATCAACAGGGAAGAACCGCATCAGTAGGATATGACAAACAATTCCAGAACTTCAGATAAGCAAAGATAAAACAACAGAATTCTATTCGATTCAAAAGCATGATTGAAGACTTACCTATCTTCAAACATGTTACTAATGTAGCTTCCGACAACAATGTTCACTGGAAGGACTGTTAGCCCTAGGCACGCAAGAAAAATTGCCACCGAGCTTGTTGACCAACCAAAGTAGTATGTGGTAACGACACTAGATTCTGAGAGTAAAACCTCCATTGCATATTTGAGCATGAAATATATTAACAGCTGAACCTGATGACATTAAAGAAACATAGTAAGCAGTATCAGATATGTGATCCTAAGAAGCATGCATAAATCCCAATCAGGTGAGCCTGGGAGATAATAACCAGTATGTTGAAAGTGAAGTTCCATTGCATAAGCTGACTACAAAGTCAGTCAGTCATGCATAAATCTCAGTATAAAATGCTATACTATCTGTGCTTAAGGAAAAATCATGATGCAGTAGGGATAGAAGGATGGTCAAGCCGACAAAGAGAATGACCAGAACCTTTGGCATGAATTCCTAGAGTACTTGTTGGGCCAAGCAGCCACCTAAGACACAAATATTGTCATGAAGCCACACTAGAATCTCCAGCGCACTTTCTGCTGGTCCAAACCAGAGGTTTTAGAGCGCAAATGGCTTTTACAAAGTAATAATCTTGTTAATCCATAATCACATAATCGTACCATTGGGAGATGTCGGTGGTGACAGAGATGAAGCTTTTGCACCATCCCTTCAAGCATAGTTCTAACAAATTATAATTCGTTCCCTTGCCATATAGTTTTACAAACTAACTTTCACACCCACATCTAATGCAAGCACTTACGAACTGGATTCCTCCATACAACCTGATGAAACTATTGAAAGTTTAGGAATTTACACGATATTGCCATACCTTCACAGAGGGTGTAAGTAGCCTATATGCTGATCCAATTGATGTGGCTGGTCCCCGAGCTTCCTCTGGAGCTTCATCACTGCCATCAAATTCTCCATCACCATCTTCAATCTCTTGCTTGTTTTCTGAACTTAATATTAATGGTTGTTTAAGACCTTTCTCGAGTGCATCATTTTCTACTGGTTCTGTCATTCAGGAGAATCAAAATCTGGATCATACATATTTACACATTGGTGGTTCTATTTTGATATTTTCAGATTAATAATGCAGGGAAAAATGCAGCACTCGCAAGGTTCAACAGGAAAATTCTCACCATACCTCCTAAACCCCACTGACCTCAACCCATGCCTTAAGTACAAACAGTTCTCTTCACACTACACTTCTACCAAGTCTACCTTTAACCCAAAATTTAACAATTTTTGAGATCCAGCATTCAATTGTTGGGTCAGAAAACAAGCATGTGATAATGGCCGTTCAGCCATAAATGACATGTCCATGCATGATCCCATTAGGCTTTAGTTGATGGATAAATAAGGTATTGACCAGTACATGGTTATGTGGCATAGCGAATATACTGACTGACTCTAAATGCCCAAAAAAACTCGTTGCTATGATAAATCATGTCTAAACTGTTTGAAATAAGTTGAATCATTGGTTTAAATTCTGACATGCTTTCATCCAACCAAAAACAAGATATGCTTCATATAGTTTCATTCATGACCTATCAAAATTTTCTATACATATGACATAAAGAAAAAGAAAACTACCAGAAGTGGCAATGCAAAGGTGATACCAGTTTTGATTCACTCCAAAAAATGTTCAAACATATGAATCAGTATGATTACAGATGGATAAGGTAAATGAGGATATGTGAAGATCAAATTAGAGATTCAGTGTAAGAAAAGTCAATATACCAGCAGCAGTAGATTCCTGTGCTGTACTGCTCTCTTCAATCACACGAGAAGGTTCTTCAAATGAGATCCACAGCCACATCAGATATATAAGCCAAGCCAGAGACATGACCCAGCCTGGCAAAGTGTCTTGATTGAATGTAAGCTTGTAAAGTTTAAAGTTAGTTTGTAGTATGCCAGCAAGAGCAGGACCACAAGCCATTCCAAGAGCACTGGCACTAACAAAACCTGCTGATGCCTGCATGCGTATTTTAAGTGGTACACAATCACTTATGTATCGCCGGTTAACAGCTCTAGCAGAACCCAATCTACACCAGAAAGGCAGAAAGCGTATGATTAGGTCAGCCTGAATGATGAGGTACACATAATAAATACTTCAAATTTAATGAAATTCCCATCATGTAGCTTGAATATCCATGAAGGAGCTCTAATAATATGGTTATTCTCTTACACTGAACTTTAGGATGTTCC